GATGTAGATGACAGGAGTTTGATGTGCAGTATTTTAATCAAATGAGCATTATCATGCAGAATTCATAATGATATGGGTGATTTTAGAAAAGAAGTGATACAAAAGATTGGCCAACTAGGAGGGAAGACAGACCAGTTAGTGAAAGAAGTAGAAAAACTGGAGAAAAAGCCTCAAGCACCCAAGATTTCAGGGACTCACCAGACCAAAGCTTTAGTGAAAGAAGGAGACAAAAAAGAAAAAAGGAAGAAAACAGAAGATTCCAGGCCCCAGTACTACTCACAAGAGGAAACTATCCCTGATGACCGATAAGGCACAGAAGAAGAAAAAGTAAATTGTTGTATTTTTTCACTTGAATAAAATTGCTGTGTTCTTTGTTGTGTTATTTGTTATTGTTTTCAGGAAATCCAGTTTGAACCGGCTGGCTGGCTAGACCGTCTAGACTGTGAATGAATGCGTAACGTCATAATGACATTCTTTTGAATCGCTGCCAAATTCGTAGTAGCAGCGTATAGAGTATAATGTAAACAGAGTGTAAATACACCCCTATATTAAGGGCCGGCTATATTACTAATTAAACACCTATCCCGCTCCAGGGGCTGCACTCCCTTGACCAGGCTATCCCCAGGGGCCATGTCCTAAATATTGACCCAGCTATCCCCCACAGGGACTGCACTCCCTTGACCCAGCTATCCCCCACAGGGGCTGCACTCGCTTGACCCAGCTATCCCCCTCACCCCCAAAAGTGCACTCAGTTGACCCAGCCATCCAGGATGCTTATACTTCTTGTATTCTACTTGTGTGCCAAGTTATACTGAAATCAAACCAAAACTGTAGGAGGAGTAGCATTTTGAAAGAATTTCACAGAAATTTCTATTTTTAGTAACCAAGGCAACACCGTTCATCGGAATCAAAAACCGATACACAGAATTATGTATCTTAGTGTAGTCTACTTGTGTGCCAAGTTATATTGAAATTAGACCAAAACTGTAGGAGGAGTAGCATTTTGAAAAATTGTTTACAGACACACGGACAGACAGACAGACAGACGGACGGACGCCGGACGCATTACTATTGCATAACCCTCTTCTGGTCTCTGACCAGTAGAGCTAAAAATATATAGACGGTGGGGGGGGGGGGGTTACTGATTATCAAGATGTACAATTATGACTTCCAATGAACAATTTTATATCAAGAATTTCATTTCAAACTAGAGACAGTCCTTTCCTATTTTCTGTTGATCTCCTCTCGACTTTGACCGTTGGTCGATCGTTTACAGCCCACATCAATGCAAGTGACTGCGCATTGCTTAGAAAACAAAACGCACAGACTTCTATAGCTGACGTGGATAAACTATGTAAATCATACACATAACATTTCAATATAGTATAATATTTATTTCTACAACTCTAGAAAACCATGCCTGTTAGACAGTACTACTACACTACAGTGTACTACTAAATTCTGGGATCCCTTCCCGGAAATTCGTGTTTTTTTACCTCCTGCTTGAAAATCAGGAGGGTTATACATGTAGTAATCGATATGTCCACCCGTCTGTCTTTCTGTTACGCTTTATGGGTACCCGTCTCTTATCCGCATATCCTACTATACCACTGAATGATATTCAATGAAACGTTCACAGAATCTTAATAAGTTAACATATTGCCATTGTGCACGTTAATTTTACTTTTTGATCCGACACATGTTTTGGCACCCCGAAAGTGTAACAGACGGACGGACACCCAGATCATTATATACCCTCCCACATTTCAAGCGAGGGTAAAAAATCTAAAATCAAAGAAAAATTGAAAAAGGCATATTATAGACATATAACCCCGAAATAGGGAGTAATTAATATATGTTCATAAAAAAGACCCCACATTTATAGCGCCGTCATTTGTTGGAATGTAAGGGGGAGTTTGTTGATAGCTTGTTCATTGCCAAAAAAAAAATCCAACTTCATAAACTATACGTTCAATTTTTTAAGTATTCACCTCATTTCATCTGGATGCATAAAGTTTCGTAGACTAGCGTGTTTGGTACAATCGTTTGTTAAAAAATTATATATTTCTAAAATTATTAAACTATTTCAAACTATCAACGATCTATGATAAATTGAAAAATAGTTTAAATGGTTTACTGGAATATTGGCAGGATTGTGTAATAGTTTTCGCTTCAGAGAATTTACAGACTTCATTTAACGTAACGTTAAAATCAGTAGCGTCGTGATGACGTCGTTACGTCAAAAGTTGTAATTATTGAAGAAAATGCACCATTTTTCCAAACCTCTGGCAGAAAAACGGTATGAGATAATTCCAAAAAAATAAAATGATTTTGAAAGGACACATAGTGGACATGTTTGTAAAAAACTGCAATCAAATTTAGAGACGGGCCGCCTCGTTATACATCCGTACCCAGTTCTTTGGTTATAAAAATTGTAGTTAAATTTCTCAACCTGTACTTTCTTAATTTTGTTGAATTTTGTTAGTTAAGTGAAAAAAGAAATGCCTTTAAAAGTTAAATACGCTTCATTTAACTATGATGCACGAAGTATTGCGCAATGGAAACTACAGTCGGTCCCCTTAAATTCATATTTTGATTTGATTTACCTCGGAAAATCCTTTCAATAGACACCAGAAAATATGTCAAATTTTTTTCTGGCTGTAACTCATTTATTGATAATATGATATACATTGCAGATTAGATGGTACACCAACATGTTGTCCTTATTATCAGGCAATAGGTACAGATTGTGTGGGTAAGTGTAAAGATTATCATTTTGAAGAAATATATAGATATGATGAAGAAAATGCAAGTATTTCTTGCCACCTGACACACCTGCTGTGTGCTCCTCTGTAAAAATCGGGAAATAAAGGAAAATCAGTCGGTATTTCCGTGTGTAAATAATAGACTAACAATTGGTACGAAAAACGTCAGTCAGCATTTGACTCGATCACTGATAAATTGTATTTCCTGACATTACATCGACCATACAAAATGATTTTGAACGAGACTGCCGACATTTTCATTTCATCAGCTTGTTTGTAAAATTTACATCTATTTAGAAAAGTGTGTATATGTAGGCTTTTTCGTATCGAATCAACTGAGAGATATAAACTCTGTATGCAGGTGATGGAGGTATACATATAGCTGCATAAGTAGGAGAAGTTGATGGTTGAAAAGTTAAATTTATCACGTTTATCACAAAAATGTGTTGTTAGATTACCATTTACCCCTTTATCAGTAAAATATCCAAGTATGAAACAGGTGTGTCAGACTCTGTAAATCTCTCTTCTCTAGCTCACCGGGATATATCGTATCGACATAAGAATGGAAATAACAATTGTCAATTGACAATACCTCGTTGATATATCTAAATGTCGATTTGAAGGGCTCAGCAAGTTTTTTCCTTTTTACGTAATTTTGGACAAATCCTGCTTCATGTGAATGCAAAATTGGGTCTGTTTATATCGGACGCAATTGGTACCCATGGGAATTCAAATACATAGTTGGTAGACCTGGTCTCTAAAAACCACATAAATATTGTCAATCAGAAAATCAAACATCTTTTTGATCTCAACTTCATAGTACTTGTGTGTACAATTATAATGTTTTTTTAACAAAGTAATTTTGCAAATGACCAATGAAAATGTAAATTTACGAGTTCCATAAAAACAGCTGTCAATGATACCAAAAAGTTTGGACTGAAATATATCGTGAGGAATGGTTTTGTATAATGTTGAAGAGTCATGAGTTTTTTAGTTATTGATTTTGGTAAAATCTTGTGATTTCAAATTTTCCAAAAGTTCCTTGTAATTTTCAAGTATTCACATCTGATTAACACCACTTTTCAAATATATTAGTACACAATACTCTTGAAGTTTCTCCTTCACTACGGTTAATTTCTTAGTGAGGAGTAAAGGAAGAGGCTTGGTTGAACATTGAGAAACCGCTATGTATCTTTGTAAGAATTTTTAGTAAACTATGGTATTTTTTGTTAGGGTTAACACAATTAACCCATTTAAACATATGCTTTTGTGACACAAAATTAGATATTCAAGAATTTCGTATAGAAATTTCCGGAGAAAAGCTTAAAAATGTTGAAGTTGAAAAACTTTTAGGTGTTCAGAAAGATAAAAATCTTCAGTATAATTATCCTACAAGTTATTTACACTTGGTAAAATTAAGAAATTTTTTCATTAAGTACCAGAAATTTTTTTATTATGCATATATTTTGCCTTCAATAAACTATTGTATTACAATTTGGGGTAATGCATCTAAAACTAGCATTGAAAGAATTCGTAAACTTCAGAAACAGGGTGCTAGAATTATTCTTGATGCAGCACCTGACGAACCATCAACACCATTGTTTGAAAAACTAAGATCGCTAAATGTGTTTAAATTAGTCACGTTACATGAGTGTATTTCATTGTACAAAACTTTTTATGGTATGAGCCCTGAATATCTCTAGGACCTTTTTGTTTTTCATAGCGAAGACTCCTATTCCTTAGGATTGAATTATAATCTTCGTTTACCAAAACATCGAACAATTGTATTCAGAAATTTTATTCAATATTCAGATGTAAATTTATGGAATAACTTACCATTACATGTGAAATTGTCACCATCGTTACCTTTTTTTAAACGAATTGTAGAAAAAAATATAATTATAGCGAACGTCTGTAAATAAATGTTTGTGTATTTCATTTGTACATGATGTATGATTACTACTATTGTTTTAACAATTAATATTGACTTCTTTATTTTGAGTCTTTATCTCATTTAGTTGTAAATTACATTAAATTATTCATGAATTAAAGAATTTTACATGATTTATCTTTGATTGTACCATTTTATATAATGATTTGCATTAGAAGGCCCCGGGGAAGAAAAGTGCCTTGTACTTATCGGGTTACCTTCTCTAAATAAAGCATTATTATTAGACTTTTCCGAGTAGCGCTGACTTTTACAGTTGACAGCTTATTTTTACACTAGAACAATGTACAGAAGTCACTTTTACGATAAAATATTTAGCTCAACATATAATTCAACAGAAAATAACGGGTTATTTCTATGCGTAAATCATTTGTCCTTGAAGTAAACCACAGTCATCCTACTCTCAACTCCCGGTCTTCAAATGTTAGTGCCCCTAACAACATTGTTGTTGTTGTAGTAGTAGAAGTAGTAGTTGTAGTAGTAGTAGTAGTAGTAGTAGTAGTTGTTGTTGTTGTAGCAGTAGTAGTTGTAGTAGTAGTAGTAGTAGTAGTTGTAGTAGTAGTAGTAGTAGTACTTGTAGTTGTAGTAGTAGTTGTTGTAGCAGTAGTTGTAGTAGTACTAGTTGTCGTAGTAGTAGTAGTAGTAGTAGTAGTAGTAGTAGTAGTAGTAGTAGTAGTTGTTGTTGTAGTAGTAGTAGTTGTAGAAGAATTAGTTGTAGTAGTAGTAGTAGTAGTAGTAGTTGTTGTAGTAGTAGTAGTAGTATTATTTGTGGTGGTTGTAGTAGTAGTAGTAGTTGTAGTAGTAGTAGTAGTTGTAGTAGTAGTACTTGTAGTAGTAGTTGTAGTAGTTGAAGTAGTTGTAGTAGTAGTAGTAGTTGTAGTAGTAGTAGTAGTAGTAGTAGTAGTAGTAAAAGTAGTAGTAGTAGTAGTGTTTATAGTATTATTAGTAGTAGAAATGTAAGTACTAACACTACTATTACAACACCAACATTAGGTGTACTACCTATGACCAAGAGAAAGGTGTTCTCGTGTAGTAGTAGTAGTAGTTGTATTAGAAGTAGTAGTGTTTGTAGTAGTAGTATTCGTAGTAATGTAAGTACTTACACTACTATTACAAAACAACACTAACTACTTAATATGACTTCTACAACTAACTACTAGTAATTTATTATTAATGTATTTAGTAGTAGTAGTAGTAGTAGTAGTAATAGTAGTAGTTGTAGTAGTAGTAGTTGTAGTAGTAGTAGTTGTAGTAGTAGTTGTTATAGTAGTAGTTGTAGTAGTAGTAGTAGTAGTAGTAGTAGTAGTAGTTGTAGTAGTAATAGTACTAGTAGTAGTAGTAGTAGTAGTTGTTGTTGTTGTTGTTGTAGTAGTAGTTGTAGTAGTAGTAGTAGTAGTAGTTGTTGTTGTAGTAGTTGTAGTAGTAGTTGTTGTAGTAGTTGTAGTAGTAGTTGTTGTAGTAGTATTAGTAGTAGTAGTAGTAGTAGTTGTTGTTGTAGCAGTAGTAGTTGTAGTAGTAGTAGATGTAGTAGAAGTAGTTGTTGTAGTGTAGTACTTGTAGTTGTAGTAGTAGTTGTTGTAACAGTAGTTGTAGTAGTAGTATTTGTAGTAGTAGTAGTTGTTGTTGTAGTAGTAGTAGTAGTAGTAGTAGTAGTAGTAGTTGTTGTTGTTGTAGTAGTAGTTGTTGTAGTAGTAGTAGTATAAGTTGTAGTAGTAGTAGTTGTAGGAGTAGTAGTTGTAATAGTAGTAGTAGTGTTTTAGTAGAAGTAGTAGTAGTTGTAGTAGTAGTAGTAGTAGTTGTAGTAGTAGTAGTAGTAGTAGTAGTAGTAGTAGTAGTAGTAGTAGTAGTAGTAGTAGTAGTAGTAGTAGTAGTAGTAGTAGTAGTAGTAGTAGTGTTTATAGTATTATTAGTAGTAGAAATGTAAACGATATATTGTAACGATAAAATTTTACCGTATTCTGTATGGTAATGCAAAACAGACAATGCACAATTTTAAAAACATGTTGGTTTTTTTTGAATAATTATTATTTTATGCATTAACTTCACTCAAAAACGAATTTTTGATTAAGCGGTCATTTTTAGCGGTCATTAAAAATAATGACCGGGTCATTATACCCCACGTGCAAAGATTCCTAGGTCAGTATTGCTGTAAACAGTACCATTTGGAGTCATTGTTGTGTTTTAAAGTTTTCTTACCAGCCAATCAAATTCGAGTATTTTCAATAGAGGTATAATAATTATTTTTAATAATCCTTAAAAAGATACAACGTATTCAGTTTAAATGGATTTTAAAACGGAATTTAAAGGTTTTTTTCTCAAATAAATTTATACAATTTTAAAAGTATAGGCAATGGAAAGAGAGCGTTATGTTTCTCCATCTACTACATGTATGTATGATCGACTTTACTTCTCAGATGTCGTGCTAATTGAACTCTCATAAAGTGACAAAGTAATCTATGAGTATTATAAGTATTTTTCACTTGGAGAGTTATGGCTCTTAATTATCAGAAGGTCGATATCCTTTGATGACCTAGGTATATTACTTCCTTCATCCAAGTGTAAAATAATCTACTTTTAACTATATTTAAAATGTTATCTTATTTTAACAGAGTGTCCAGTGGGATACTTTGGTGAAAACTGCAATATCTCCTGTCGGTCTCCAGCATATGGTAGAAGATGTCAGAGCAGGTGTAAATGTTCTGAGAAAGACTGTCATAATGTAATAGGATGTAATTGGAGAAGTAAGTCTCATTTAATTTCCTCATTGTTTCTTCGGGTTTTTTTTTTTTAATTTATGGAGTGTGAGATAAAGTCTTTGGTATTGAATATGTATTCAGCTTTTAAGGTAGATTCTTCTCATATTTCTTGTATTCAAAAATTAATTAAATTTCATAGAATCAAGAAGACAATATCACTAAGTGATGGTATCCGTGAGATAAAATTTGAATGTTTTATATTAGAGGCAAGGTCAGGTCAAGGTCATTACCTTTTTCTTGGACATTATTAATAAATAAAATACTGTTGCCAGTAATGCGATCCCTACTTGTATTACAAAAGATTGAATATTGTTCTTACTGCATAAAATAATACTACCATATAGAGCCTATAACATGATACATGTATAACCAAACTGACATAAATAATTAAACTAAAATGGATATTGGCTAATCCGAATTTTCTCTATTTTTCTTAATTCTTTAGGATATGTTAGTTATTTTTATATGCTTCCTGTATTTAAATTTTTCTCATTTTCACAAGTTGTCACATTAAGATACAAAATTATACAAAAACAAAGTTTCGATCGTTTACTAAGAGACATAAAATACTTTTTATTGATTTCTGGCTCAAATATGTACTCAGATTAGAAGTTTATAAAAGCTTACACAGTTTTAGTTTGTTTGAAAAATCATATTTATTTGATATATTTAGGAACTTTAGTCCCTTATTAATAATTAAACTTACATTTGAATATTTCTTGAAGTCTTTAATTGTGTAGAAAATACGACTAAACCAAATGTTCTATAATAATTTTTATAGGCAAAAAAACAAGCACGTAGCAACAGGGGGGGGCAGGGGGTGCCTACCCCCCCCACCCCCCACTTTTTCCCCCAACATTACCTTTACTATAGGATTTTCGAGTTTGGGCAATTTTCAAAAAAGATTTCTTAGGTTGCCCCCCCCCCCCCCACTTTCAAAAACGATGCTACGTGCCTGAAAAGATATTTTCATACGCCACCATTCCGCCAAAAATATAGTCCCTGCTAGATTTCAAACGTTATTCACCATTTCTATTTAGAATTGTACAATTGCGTCGAGGAAAGAAAAATATGGTCTTTAAAATACCTTACACCTAAATATATAAGGCATATAAGCAAATGTCGATATATTGCTTGGAAACGAAAGTGTTACAGACAAACAGAAATACAGACGTATGGAGGGACCGACCGAAATTAATATTCTTCCAGCTTATGAACGAGGAGGACAAAAAGTGAATCGATCTCCAAAAAACTATATTTTTGGTTCTAATCGTCTATTATCAAAAACATACAAATATGATATTATTGCAGCAGACTTTATTCTTTACTGTCATATTGTTACAATCTTTAAAAATTGTTGACATTAATGAATTACGTACAAGAACATCCAGTCTTCCAAAATGTCCAATTGTTTGTTCCACGAGCGACTTTCTAAAATCTCTCGAAGTTAAGTCACCCACGCAGAGGAGAACCTGTATGGAATAAGTACGTAGAAAATAGAAACAGGGTATACGTAGCGTAAAGCGGAATTTAACACAAACACCCTTTGGTATACGGATATTACCTCTGTTTAAAGCTGCTATGTGAAGGACGGAAACAAGGGAAAAGTATGTTTTGTAATAACTAATTTTTGTGATATAATAATGTTTATGCCTCCTATGAGAAATATCAGCCTGATAGAGCAGTTAAAACCAACCAAACACAGATATGCAGATTTGTCGATTAAATGACATAAAGTAAAATGTATAACAAATCATTAAGGGAGATCACATAATATTAAACAATACTGGATACATGTACATATGTGAAAGGTTCAAGTGTGACCCCCTGAGACTGATTAGAAATTTACATGCCGTGAAAATATCATATTACATGTAAATGTGCATAAAATATAACATAAATGAGTTAATCCATGGAGGCGTCCAAACAACTGCGCCAGTCCAAGAAACTATAGGTTATTAGAAAAATACAAATTTTGACTAGAATGCAAAATAATGCAAAACAAAAACCCCAAAAAGGGTGGGTGGTGGTTTTTTTCCACCGCACTACCAGGCTGACAAAAATGGCGCAAAAACAAGGATTTAGACTGGGTTATAATAAACCATAAAAAGTACGATAACTCTTTCAAGAAAACCAAGGGTTGCGATTTCGCAATGAAAGGTTAATAATTGCGTCTGCGATAAATGCACATATCCGACAGACTGCGCTGGGTTATGGGGGATTATCCACAGGTGTAAAATTTAACAATTCTCATAGTGGCATAATTATCTGTGATAAAATTGTTTTATGCCTCCTATGAAAAATATCAGCCTGATAGAGCAGTAAAAACATCAAACACAGATATGCAGTTTTGTCGATTTATGTCATTTAATTGAATGACATATAGTAAAATGTATAACAAATCATTAAGGGGGATCACCTAATATTAAACAATACTGGATACATGTACATATGTGAAAGGTACAAGTGTAATCTCACTGATACTGACTAGAAATTTACATGCAGTGAAAATATCAGATTACATGTAAATATGCATAAAATATAACATAAATGAGTTAATCCTTGGAGGTGTCCAAACAATTGCTCCACAAGCCCTCAAGCAGTGAGGGGTAGACGCCAAAAAAGGGAAAATATCCAAAGAAAACAGTTTTATCAAAACAGTCAATGACAGAAATTTACAGTATTTTTTTTACAATATTTTTTCTTGTTGCATATAGCAATACTGAAATTCACATATGATGTTACATGTTTTTAAGACTAGGTGTTTGATATATAACAAATACTGATGAAATAAAGTCATTAACATTCAACTGTCAGCTGTTCAAGTGTGGATTAAGGGAAAAACAAAATTACTGCAAAGAATGTTTTGTACATTTGTAAATTTATAAAGGTAATTATCTTAGCTCAAGTCAATGTAGGATGACTTCTAAATACAATTTTAGATGATCAGCTATCCGCTGAAGTAATGTATCTTAACTCACGTCAATGCAGGCAGACTTTGACATGCAATTTATATGAACAGCTATCCGCTGAACTCATGTATCTTAACTCATGTCAATGCAGGCAGATTTAAGCATACAATTTACATGAGCAGCTATCCGCTGAACTCATGTATAATAACTCACGTCAATGCAGGCAGACTTTAACATGCAATTTACATGAGCAGCTATCCGCTGAACTCATGTATATTAACTCACGTCAATGCAGGCAGACATTAACATGCAATTAATATGAGCAGCTATCCGCTGAACTCATGTATCTTAAGTCACGTCAATGCAGGCAGACTTTGACATGCAATTTATATGAACAGCTATCCGCTGAACTCATGTATCTTAACTCATGTCAATACAAGCAGATTTAAGCATACAATTTACATGAGCAACTATCCGCTGAACTCATGTATATTAACTCACGTCAATGCAGGCAGACTTTAACATGCAATTTATATGAGCAGCTATCCGCTGAACTCATGTATCTTAACTCATGTCAATGCAGGCAGATGTAAGCATACAGTTTACATGAGCAGCCATTCCTCTAATCTCATGTATCTTAACTCAAGTCTATGCATGCAGATTTTATCATACAATTTACATGAGCGGCACACATGCACCTTAGCTCAAGACTATGCAGGCAGATTTTAACATACAATTTACACGAGTAGACATCGGCTGAACTCATGTAACTTAACTCAAGTCTATGTTGCTAATTTTTCCCAAATTGGAAGGCCCATGCCCTTGATTTTAAGACCTAAAAAATACCTGGAACTGGACCACCAGATTTGAAGGTGTATAAAGGGCCAGATGATATGTGAGTTAATATTGAAACTTGAATGGACAAGAGGACAATTCATGTTCTGTCAAAGTAATTATCATCCCCTGCCTATTGATCAAATTTGGAGTACCTGAGTGTGATCTGCGTTCAATTTTGATTGTTCACCCAAGTGCATGAAAGATAAATGACAAGTTTGAAAAGTGTTGACAAAAAATCATATCAGCTTGAAACCTGTGACATAAAACAAGTGTTGCAAAATCGGATCAAATTAACAAACGATTATCTAATTGAATCGATAGGATTGAATTTATTACATGTTTATGATCGATAATTTGAACTTATATTAATAAAAAATTAACCAATAAATTTTCAGATATCTTTGAAATGAAAACAATTTAATACAAATATGTCAGACCGACATAGCCAAAAATGTTATTTGTTCATATTATTTTTTTCTTATTTATCAATATATTTTTCTGTTAATGTACATGTACAGTCTCACATATTGATACATACTATATAAATAGTAATCAAATTTCCAGTTAAAAGCAATCATTTTCACTTTTTGTTCCATTTTTACTTTGGATGGTTATATGTTATATATACCGGGTCTATGTTTCTGATATACTTGTAATATTATGTTACTTGTTTACATTTCATACCATTAATGTTGATACTGCACATCTACTGTATTGTATTTAAGCAGTATGTGGTGTAGTGTAAGAAGAGACAAGGACGAGTAAGGGTGCAAGTTTGACCATGTATTAAGTTATTGGAAGCTGCCAAAAGACCTTAATTAACTGACGAAGCTACAAGTATTCTCATCATAATATCTCTATCGGCCATCCCCATTAAAACTCCCAATATCCCTGACAGTATAGCATTCTTTAAGCAAATTG